CCACTGGCTACACCAATTCGCCGGTCGATCTCTTCCTCCAACTTTCCATCACTAGTAAAATACAGTTCCGAGGTACTTGAACTTCTCCACCTGCCCAACAGTCTCTCTGTTAATCTGAAGAGAGCAGCGGGCAGGAGAAGGATAGAAGGATAAAGCACCAGGCTTTTCGTTTTAAACGCTTTCACACGCATGCCGTCACGTCGCTTTCGGATGCGAACCTTTCCAGATCAGTTTCAGAAGATGCCAACAAAACAAGGTCGCTGGTTCTAATTATATTAGCTATAGCGACATATATTTATAGCAATATGCGTATTCGTATGTTCATTTACCAAAATGGTAGCCTGTTTTTCAAGTCCGGTCCTAAGTTTACATCGGAGAGAGTATCTAAGGAACTTCGTTCCAGGTGACTTGACTGATAACCAATCATATGAATGTTTTAGCAATGTTTTATTATATTCAACGATTCTCTGTAAAGATTGACTGACACATATATGATGGATTTAAGACGAGTTGCACATACAGAGAGGAGCAAGTCATCCGAGTTATTATAAGGGAATGTGTACATGAGATAGAAGGTACACATGAGACGAAGAATAGGCAGGCAATTTTTGACCCTTTTAAATATTCGAAGTTTCGACTTCAATACAAAGTAACATCATGGATGCAATTCATTGAATTGAACACAGTATTCATTAACTTTCCCTTTTATTTCCTCGTTCCCTAAAGATTCAGTTTGCCGTTACGACTGGCCGTCTGTCTGTGCGACGCTCAGAAGGAATGATTTCCTTGCATACGTTTGGTCATTTCATGGTTTTCAAGCAGGAGGCTCAGTTAGACTTGTGTAAGCACATTTGAAGAGTTTCGTAAACCTGTTCTGAAATTGTGCGTGTTGTCGTCATCATCTATAAGCCTTGAAAACCTGCAAGTTGCTTAGGACTCGTGACGTCCGCTTCTCTCTTTGAGATGGCGGATTTCCTGAACGAAAATTGTTTTTCTCGCAGCGAATGTTGACCTCGCAGGACGAATATAGATTAAACAACCAAATTCTAAAATTAATAATCAATATGCCACGGATAATTGGCAAAAATCTGTACAAGCATAATTGGCAGCTTAAAGAGCATACTGTGTGACAGCTTTGCAAACGCGAATAGCGACATCCAGGACTCCTTCTGCCATGAGATCAATGCTTGGTTGAGATTTAGAAAAGTGAGTACTTACTTCAGTCGGTCAGAACCGTTGACGTTGACGAACACCCCAACGAATGTCATCAGAATGCAAACGTTGACGAGCAGGACAGTAGGTAGAGCCATCTTATTGACGAGTCTGACACCTCCGAGGACGATGCAAGACACAATGGCGAGCAGCGCTGTACCAAACACCCGAAAGCAGTTGTAGATATCGGTGAATGGTTTTGCTTCCGGAAGGCAATATAGCTAAATGCACAATAATTTATCGAAAATTGTTTATATGCTTGTGACATACCAGAAATATTTCCACAGAGCCTAAAAGTAAATCGGAAAAAAATTGAAAACTGTAAAGTCAAATTTGAACCTTTTACCAAGGAGGTACATAGAAGCAGCGATGGTTGATGCGAGGTAGAATAGGATGCCCACGGCACCTCCAAGTTCTGGGCCAAGGTTACGTGAAATCATATAATATGGACCCCCGGCTGGCACCATGCCGTTCGTAGCAATGGCGCTAAGAGAGAGTGAGGTCGTGAATGTCTGAAAGCAAATCACAAGCCAAATCACGAACTTGCCAGCATACCAGCAAGAATTTTTCTTACCACAGCACAGCAGATAAAGGTGATGAAGAATGCTTCTAGAACACCGGCTGTACCAACTATCCATGCAAGTCGAATGAAGAACAATACTCCAAATATATTTTGCACGCTGGGCATGAACACACCGGAAATCGTTCCCATCTGTACCTTCTGAAACAGAGAGTTTATTTCGAAATAAGCTGAAAGCAGCGGATACTGGCCGCGACAAACGAGTTTCCTGAGGTCAAATAGCTTTTCAAATGCAGCTGCAGTCATAGCTAGTTTCGGCCATGTAAAGGGGGGCCACACTTTTTCTACAGTACTACAAAATGAGGAACTAGACAAAGTTAACGCTTCGCTGTAAAGAGCAGAAGGCAATCCGATTAACTAATTATCAGCGGTATCCATAAAGCGTTGTGAGTAATTTCAGAGAAATATTTTGCACGGCATTTTTGTGTGAAATTTCCTGTCTGCCTTAGTTTTCGAAAGCACCGTACCTGACTGGGTTTAAAGCTTAATCCAATTAACTACTCAATTAAACTGGGGCATTCTGTACCTTAATCCAAAAGAGTACCTTTTGGTAGCTTTCATTCTCTTTTACTATCTGCATGGGCTCGGAGTACGAAGAGAGACGACTTAAAAAGTTTGACAACTTGTTCTCCTTCGACGTGACATCACCCTGAAATGCAAGTTTTGATCCTAAAATTTACCTATGCAAAATTAGGAAGCTTACCTCGTACAGCACAAGACTGTCAGACTTGATCAGAGTTTCGCATTGGACGAAGGGTTCGTCGCCATTCGACAGTCCTGCGCTGATTTCCTCTGCCGCGGTATCGGTATCCTTAGAAACGCGCAGACATTTCTCACTTTGTGGCATGTCTGCTTCGTTCAACATTTCTTCAACTACAACAGGGCGTTTAGAAAATGTAAAAGAGAAAATATCAGCGGACGAAGCACAAGTAACAACAAGTATTAAAAGTAAAAGCGAACAATAAACAGGGCTATGGAAGAGAGAGCCAGGCAGAGAATATGAGCGAGAAATATTGAAATAAAAAGAATGGGACGAAATGAGACAGGAGAAAAATATAGAAAAGTGAAGGATATGGAGAAAACATAGCGAGAAGAAGAGGCGAAGAAAAGAAGACAGAGGGAGAAAGAGGGGAGAAAGAAAAGAGAAGGCGAAAGAGAAGAATTGAAAGGAATAGCATGAGAAGGACGTGAATGAAAAGTAGGTGGAGAGTGTGAAGTATAAGAAAATGAAGAAGACGAAAGAGAATTTTAAAGAGACTGAAAACGAGAAGGTTTGGAGGTAGTGGGGGTAGATGGAAAAAATGCAAGTAGAAAATGACGGCGTAATAGATGAAAAAGGAACGGAGGGAATGAAAGAAGAAGATGAAGGATGGGATAATGAGGAGGCTGATGATGAGATGGAGTAAGCGAAGAAAAGAACGGTAAGAGGGAAAGAAAGAGAGGAAGTGGGAGATTTGACAATGAAGTCAGATACGAAGGAATGACAAGACAAGGAACTTAGTCGAAAGTTCAGGATTCTGTGGCATCCAGAAATACGCGACTGTAAAGTTTCTCTGCGAGATGCACCTTCTGCTTAATATCGCACCGAAAAGTCGAGCGTCATGAGATCAAGGCGAAGAACAGTTTCGAGAAGAGTGCGCATCACACAGCGTTACCAGATATCTCGCTTACTCTGTTGTGACCATACCAGAACACGTGCTGTGTATAATTATAGCAAATTATCGATTTGCTCGTCTCATCTGTTTCTCGATTGGCTGAACCAAAGCAACTTTGGGTAATTCCATACTCAAGAAAATCAGCGGTTAATTAGACTACTTTTGTCCAATCTAGGAACTAGAACCTGACATCTTTGGAGTTCGAAGCTGACCTTTTCACCTCAGAGGTTGAGTCTTTCTCAGAGAGCTAATGTTTCGGCTACGCAACGCTGGCTATCAGAAGGAGGAAACGGCATAACTGAACCCAGCTGACAAGAGAACAGTCGCCACCAATTATGGTGCATTGGATTATAACCTACTGAATGGTCCAATTCCAGGGTTTTAAAACCAAGTAAATTACTTATCTTTCTCTTTATTGTCTGTACATTGTTTCAGTGCTGATTCGAAGTCATACCTTGTTGGTACTACCTGTGGCTAGCGTATTTTGGTAGGCGTCTTATATAATGAATGAGTCGTTGAAAACGAAGGTTTTGCCCGTCTCGCATGTCTCCGGTGCATCACATCCAACGCATCGATGACCAATACAGCAACTTACAAAGGTGTAAAAGTGCAGTCATTTCATCCTGCGTTGATACCTGTCGAATAACTCAGAGTACGACTCGTCAAGAATGTAGCTTTTACTCAAGATATCACCACGATAAAAAAAACCAATTTCAGCAGATAACGAATTAGTTGGATACTCCTTACCCAGATCCAGAGTTTTCATTTCTCGAAGCAGTCTCGATTGGTTTGCTAAGAATCACCTTCCAGTGGTAAAACCAATTAGGCAGGTGGTTTTAGTGGCAATTAATTGACAAATCAACTTTATTCATTCACGCTTCCAAATGCAACCGCCAACCGAGTGATGTGAGAGCGGATGGCTTAAAATCAAGCACAGGCAGTGCGACAAGCGAAAGATGTGTTATTGATTTACAGACATCAATTACCATCTGTGATGTAAATATATGAGGGTAATTAAAATCTCAGGAGGGATGATTTCCTTTCAAGTTGACAATTTGATACTTTTCCTACGAATCGTTCAGAAGTCATCATCCAACCATAACACTGGAGCCAGTGGTCACCAAGTCATTGTTCCTTCTATCGATGAGGTTTGTCATTTCTCCATTGGTAATGCAAAATTGGAATATTACATAAATTCTTGATTACGCTGAAAGAAATCGAAAATGAGTGCAGCTGATCAAGAAGCTACTATTCATTCAGAAAACTTCTGTCTGTTATATTGGTTAGTGATTAAAAGTCACCTGACACTCAATTAATGCAGACAACGAAAACGAGGTAAGTAGTCTTTTCCAACGTTGAAATTGCTGAAGGCGAAGGACGGCAACTGATTGACTGCTGCGATTTACCAGCGACGAATTAGCATATATCGAACAAAAACTGGCATCCGTTACATAGAGTACAGCGCAGATTTCCATCCCTCATCTATCGTTGCATTACTGATGTCCTCTGTAGAGATGAAATAAATATGTGATGAAGAATTTCTATGGATTGGAGCGAGTTTCTTA